TCGAACAAGTACCTGCAATGTATACAGGGTGTCATTATTTTATCATCAGTTCCGCGTTATCAAAAGATTACAATCAACGTGAAAATATTTCTCAAACGGTGAAAAATATTTCTCTTCTGTCCTGCTTTCTGAATGTATAATAGGTTTTTGAATTTCATTCCCTTGGAAACGAACGGTTTTCCTGTACTTCTATGTATATTTTACCTAGGATTTTCTTTAAATTGATAAAATATAGACCTTAAAAGTTGTTAATTTTTGTCGATTTTAAGTACATTGAAATATATACCCAGGCAAAACAAATAATAAATTTATTACTTCTTAGTAATTTCAGTGATATACCGATGTATTCAAAAAAGAAGACGAATTATTGTATACGGTTTGGTCACTCGTTGTGGTCCGTGAACCAGTTACTAGCGCAAGAGGTTAGAGGAATTAAAATTTAAAATTAAAATTAATAATAGCAAGAAATCTTTAAATTAGAATCTGTGAAATTTTATATAAAAATTTTATTGTCTAATTAATCTAAATTCAAAAACGGGCAAATGAACCACCTATGGATTTGCTTTATATTGCGAATACAGAATTCACAATTTATTTAATTTTTTTTATATTCACGCTTTGGCAGTTTTGACAACTACGCTTGATACGAATTCGTATTAAAAATCAAATTATGATCAGCAATTTCAAAATTGTATTGTTTGACCAAATATTACTAACATTAGATTAACAATACTTAATACCTTGAAGAAAGAATAGAACATTCAACTTTTCTTAAAAATTGTTTTAAAACAACACGAGTAATAAAAAGTACCAGTATGAAATACATTTCACAGTATCGATTTCTAGTACTTTTAATAAATAGAATTATTGAATATATTCTAAATTTATTTCTAAATAAAATTATTGAAGCATTGTTGGAGTGAGGTAATTAGGTTCACACATTATTGAAGATCACACAGTGATCATTTACAATGATTATAGAATTGCAAACTTTGAATGAATATCGTAAATGATTACGACAAATGAAGACAGATTACACAACCGTGTGACTGCATTAATATATTGCAATTATAATGCAAAGAATATTCAGATTTTCCAAATTTATTTGAAGGAAAACGGTTAACTAACAGATTTTAACTTAAAAAAAAAGTCATGAAATACGTTAAGTATATGAATAACGTAAAGAAACATTATGAATAAAATAAAATAATTATTTTATAAAAACAACATTTTTTCGTACAACAAATATTTCATGAATTATTTGATGTCGTCACGTTACGAGACTCACCCTGCATTAAAAAAAATAATTTGCTCTGCACTCGTTTATACGAAAGTTTATACCAAAACTTTTTTTCAATAAATCCAGTATTTTACAAGATATTCCAGTTTTACAAAGTGAAGGAAACATCCTGTACATTTTATTGATCTCGACTGAATTTTCGGCTAGATGATAAATTCGCACATGTGCATATACTTTGAAACTGTATACATATATAATAATGAATATAATAATAAATTGACACTACTATGATTTTATGATATATCTGTTTTGTGATTTATTTCTAATTTTGGTAAATTTCTAGTTTAGCGGTTTTTTCCCCAGTTTTGACTATTTCGTTGGCTTGTAATTTTCTTAAGTAACTTTTCCTTTTTAAGTAACAAGAGCTATATAGTTTTTTTTTTTTTTATCTTTTCCGATTGATTTCTTGTTTTGGCGATAAGTTGAACAAACAGCGAAATAATCAAAATTGAGAAAAGTCACTAAACTAGAAATTTACACTAATTTTTGTTGTATTTCTTTGTTCTATTTGAAACTATACGATTAAAAACTATAATAATTCTGAATTGAAATTTTTTAAATTTTTGTATCTCGAATAGGAACGAAGTCTCTTTGCTATAAGAATAGATAGTAGTTTGGTCAATTCTAAGAAAACAATTCCAAGCTAAACACAAAATCCGTTAGACGAGGAATTATCGCTACATGTGCCTTTGAAAACTTTGAAATTTATAAAAGAATATTTATTATTGAAACATGGAAAAATAAAATACATTGTCTAAATATGAAACTATGTATTAATAAAAGCCATTGTGTGTCGATAAAGATAGCTATTTAGTCTAACTGTCATGAGCCATGCGCCCGAAAGTCTTAAGAACAATATAAAGAGAATATACTATGAACAATTCATGTGATTTGATTTTCACTAAAGAATTGAATATTTTTTCTTTTTTTTTTCTACTTTGCTACTTTGAAATTGTATGAATTGAAACCTTATTTCTTCAGAGTCAATGTACTAAGTGAAGAACAATTCCATTAAATTTTCATTGTAGAAAAAATAGTGTTTGAACTATATTTTTAACGAGTGCACAAATTGTTTTATCGAAAGCTATTGCTATTTGCAAAACTTCCTTCAACATTTAGCAATTCATTGGATTTTTTTTTTTTTTTTTGCATAGTACACAAAATTATATACACAGTGATCAAAGTATATATAATTTTGTAATAAAGAATTCATCAAAGAATCATTAATTATCCGCAAACCTGTTGGTCACATATCACTAATCAATAAATATTTGATATAAAATCACAGATAATCATTTTCCTGTAAATGAAAATTGTAAATGAAAAATACTTTCACATCGTTTGACATAAATAGTAAATCATAATAACAAAAACATATGAAAATTATTTCTTTCGCTTATGAAAATATTTCTTTCACTTGAGTGTCGATCACTCTTCTCAACTTGTTACTACGAATTTGGAAAAGCGTGCCAAAGTAAGTAAATATTTGGAACATTTGTTAAACTAAAATTGAAATTATGAAAATGTAATTTAAAGCGCAAATTAATTTTAACAAACTGCCAAATGTAATATAATCCCTAAATGACAAGAAAACTTTTCACAACTATCCATGATAGCTTTTTAGGAATGGTTTGCAACAGTCTATTGGAACCACCCCTCGAGAGCTTGTGCATGTGTCTAATTCTTTTATTCGAAAGTACATTCATGGTTATACCGAACGTTCATGTACGACTTCGAACGACTAAGTCAAAAATGTATATGTTCCATGAAATTCACGATTTAATCGAAACAAAATTCAATGAAGAATATCAGAGCTAACTGCGTCGGAAATTGCGTGCCACTCACAAATAGCAGCCGAATAGAGCAGGCAGAGCAGAGTAGAACAGAACAGAACAGAACAGAACAGAACGGAACAGAACAGAACAGAATAGAACAGAACAGAGCAGAACAGAGCAGAGCAGAGCAGAGCAAAGCAGCCAGTAGCAATGGAGGATAACAGCGGCTAGAAACGACGAGGAGGAGAGGTTGAAACTGTGATGCCTGCAAAAAGCACGGCAGACAGCGTCGATCGTTTTTGCTTGGCGTCAGCCGCGTTCCTACCGCCGCGCCGCGTCGTACTTCATGGTGGTACATCGCTCTTTCTTCCCCTCTCTCTTTTCCGACTCGTTTCTCCATCCTCTTCGTTACTCATCTTCTTTCCCTTTTCTCTTCTCCCACAGTCTCTCTCGTAAGTTCCTCTCTCATACTTCTACTCTTTCTCTTTGTATATTCTGTATCCACATCGAGAAATTGTATAAATGGAGTAAAATTATTTTCAACTGGATTTCACACGTTCAAAAATTGCATCGTTAGAGTGAAAAGTACGAGGATATGTCAGAGAAGACATTAAAAAAATTAAGATCTTGGTCATTAATCTAATCAATTTATGTTCATTCAAAGAAATTCGCGTTCTTTGCAGTTAAATAATGTATGAAACATTCATAGAAAAAATAGACATGTCGTCCAAATTTTTATAAAATCTGCTTTTCCACGAGGCAAGACAACGTTTACATGATGTTTAAATACGGATCAAAATGTATTCACCTTAGTTTTATTTCTAATGTTATTTGTTGTTGCGTAAAGTCGAAATTCATATGTATAAATAAAAGTGAATAAAATAAAAGAAGTAACTTCGCTTACGTGAACTTCGTTTATTTGAACAAAATTTTAAATCACTGTTCAGTTAAACAAACTTCTGCTAATTCTACGTATCTAAACATGGATTTCTGTTATATAAACGAAAAATTACAGGGAAAAGTTAAAAAAAAACTCCTAATTAGATAAAAAGAAATTCGAAAATGTGAGAAAAAGCTTAAATATGAAAAAAGTTTATTATATAAGTATCTAAATAATACCTATTTTTATATAGATATTAATATTAGGACATTAGAAATATAATTTCAAAAGCGTGTAAACAATTCGCTTTCATTTAAAAAATGAATCATTAAAATTCTGTCTATCTCACTTTCGTGGTAATTATTGATTAAGTGCTCAAAAATATAAAGGAATTTTAATTTATATTTAATAAATAATACATTAACAAAAAAAGAAGTAAGTTTGGATCAAATTTATCGAATCAATTTCAGAGTTGATTTCTTCAGGAATTATATCGAATGTGTTGAATACAGTTACAACCTCTTAAATGACATGTTTGTTAATTTTTGTCAGTTTTGTATTTTTAATATTAATACAAATCATACAAACAATATTAATTTTAATACTAACCATTCAAACAATTTCAATATTAATTAATTCAAATATTTTCTTTCATTCAAGATATCAGGATATTTATTATATTTAGTGTGCATTATTTATTTCATGTGATTGAAAAGATAAAAATTATAAAAGCGAAGTCAAATGCAATTTGTGTCCAAAAGCTTTGTTTCAAAATTCCAAATTTCGTTTTATGCATAATTTATATGTATCGGTATGAGCTATATTAATTCAATTTTTATATTTTCTCTTTTGTATATACTATATACTTTTATTTGTTTGTATTTAATACAAATGACAGTAATATTGAATTGTAAAGATTGAAGAAATTTAATTCTGTATAATATTATCTAATTCCGAATATTCCGAATATCTAATTTTATCGAAACAAAACCATCCTAATAGATGAACCATTTGATCTTAATAATAAATACTTATTATTTTTCAGTAAGCAAGCGGTATTCGATGGGAAGAAAGCTATTAGGGGAGGCATCCCATTTGTTTTTCGTAAGTATACGAGTCAAAATAGAATGAATAACTTATTATTAATAAAACAATCTCTTGGAAATTTTAGTAAATATATATATACGAAATAATAATATGTACAAAATACACATGGAATATTAATTGTATATTGCTTTAATTTGTTTCAGCACAATTTGGAGCATGGACATTTGGACCGCCTCACGGGTTTGCTAGAATTGTTCGTTGGAACGTAGAAAAGTCCCCTGAACGTTTGCCGAGTGGTGATGTTGAGGCGATTTTCTCTATTATGGACAACGAATTCACTCGATCAATGTGGAATTACCCGTTTAAATTAACCTACAGACTAATTCTTCGGGAGAAGGAATTACATTTTAACATTGGTGTATACAATCCTAGTAAAGATCATACGTTTAGTTTTAATTTGTTACTACATACCTACTTTAAAGTGCCAGATGTTAGGAGATGCCAGATCACTGGCCTTCATGGATGCACGTTTATCGATAAGGTATCATCACATATAATTATTTATTTATATTAAATCGATTTTAATTATTTTATTTACTTATATTAAATAGATTTTAATTATTTTATTTATTTATATTAAATCGATGTCTTTTCGTAAATATTTAACACTATATTAATACTGTTGTAAAAAATGTTCTTCTCCATAGACGAGAGACAACCAAATTTTTCAAGAAGGCCGCGACGTAGTAACTGTGTGCGAATGGACAGATAGGATTTATCAAAATACACAACCAGAACACATCATTACGAATGTCGTGTCCGGTAGGAAAATGCGAGTACAAAAATACAATTTTCCTGATACAGTGGTTTGGAATCCGTGGCAGGAGAAGGCTCGTGATATACCAGATTTTGGGGATGACGAATTCCCGAATATGATATGCGTGGAAAGTGGACACGTTAGCAGCCCTGTTATATTGCTTCCTGGGACAGCTTTCGAAGCCAGTCAAATTTTACAGGTATAATATACAATATTATGTCTAATACAGCCATGTGTACGTTATGCAAGTTTAATGCATAACTATATGCGAAAAAAAAAAACTGAAAAAAATCTTTTATCAAAAATAGAATAATGATTTGTTGTTAAATGACTACAACCGAGCTTGAGCGATTCATACATTATAAACCACTGGAATTTATTTCCCTATAAATATGATATACAGACTTCCTGAACTAACATATATATGTTGTATGTATGTACATATATGTATACATGTACACATAGGTACTCTGAGCATCAAATCAGAGATTTTCAAGTAGCAAAAGATTTATTATTTCTTACAATAATTATTCTATAACAAAAAAATGTAAAATTACTTTTTTTTTCTTTTTATTATTTATGACTTCCGTCTCTCTTTTGTCTCTTTTTTATCGCATAAATATTTCCCATATTTTTTATCGTAATCAGACACATTCCAATTGTATTTTAATTATAATTCTCTGGTAATTATTTACTTTAGGCATTTTTTGCCGATTTTAATGAAACATGTTATCAAGTTCATTACATTTCACTTAGAAAAAACTTTTTCCTATATTACCGCTGGTAATAACTAAACAAGAACTATTTCTTATTTCATCGTTAATAATACGCTACTTACTTTATATCTAGTTATTAAATGTAAACATGTTGTTAATGAAGACCATGTAACAACTAATGAGATTTTAAGAACAAAGAGAACAGGTGACTCATGGTTCCGTTGACAAGTTTGCTCCTCGCGATTAATAAACGATGCAAACATAAAAAAAATTGATCTTAAAATTCAAGGTCGAATTATTTTGTATGAATCTCCATTGAATTGAGAATATAGAATCATGCTATCACGGTCGCAACAATATAATTTTTAAACAGAACGTGTCAATCAAAGTAGAATATCTTATAATATATAAATACAATTATATGATAATTATGCGTCTGCTATTTATAAATTAGAGATGAATATACGTGTTCATTTATAGATAATTTATTTTTTTATTGTAATACTTATGAGTACATTATTGCTCTAAAAGTTTTTTACTCCAATTGTTAATTACATGTACTTTGTAATATTTTTTTTGCTGGTTTTTCTATGTATTGTAATACATAATGCATGATGTGTGCATCAGTTGTTGACAAACTCGATTGTTTGATTTGTTATATATCTGTTTTATATATGTGTATTGTTTTGTTCTAATATAATTTAAAATATGTTGTCAATATATTTCAAATTATGTTAATTGATACTGCTCTATGTAGTCCAACAAATGAGCTGCAACCTGTTTATGTGTGTTCTATTTCTTTTCCAAATTAACACCATTCCCTGTATGTATTTGTGTCAATAGTCTCTTTCATTACATATTTCTCGTACATTTTTAAAGCTAGGATATTGGAATTTTTTTGTTTTGGGGAAAAATTATTCTAGCGTTATTTATACGGAAGTTATTTGTATTTCATGATATTGTGGGATTTGTCAATGTGTAATCTTTTCTTTGCTCATTTCTCTCTTTTTATAGTCTATCATACATATGCATATCTCTATTTTATTATCATTGTAGCTATTATCATTCTTAAATTTTCTACCTATATATTACATAATATTTACACATTAATTATCTTCCTTTTCTTCTTGAAAATTATGATTTTTTCATTGTAAAACTTTGAATAGTTTTCAATGCTTCACAAAAATTATGTTAAAGTCTATCATGATTTTGGCTTAAACATTTTTATTTTATTTTCAGCGATTTTTTAATATAGGTGTGATTTATATTTTTGTTTTCTTGAAATTTCCAAGATATTTGTACGTTTTGTCTCTTTAAGTATCATTTTTCTGAATATTGTTTTTTATGGTTGGAGTTATTTTTCTTCTATCGTGAGCATTTATTAATTTATCTTGTTATTTTTTTTATATATTTACATAATATTTTCATATTATTTTTTTTGAATTTTAATTTATGTCAAAGTATTTGTATAAGTATTATTATACTTGCTATTATATTTTTATAGAATCAAACATCAAAACTAACAATCTCATGCTATACTCTTTGCTTCTTTAATTAATGTAATTAACATATTAATATATGTAAATAATGGCAGTTTCTTGAGAATATGACACAACAGCAATAAATTTATGATCAATAAATCAAGACTGAATAATAGTTAGCAATTTTAGATAAAATTTAAGACGAATTTAAGATAAAAAGTTGAAAAAATAAAAAATTACAAGAAGAATAAATGAATCAATAATAAAACTAAAAAGCTTGAATCGCGACACTATAAAGTAATCGTGTAATAAATATATACGTATAATATGTATATGTATACACAGTATACATATACATGTATGATATAAGTCATATATTACTTGTATATAATAATTATTTATTCTATTAGTGCCTGGTTTTCCAAAACTGAAAATATTAAATTTTGTATAACTCTGCGAAAAAAACAATTAAGAAATTTAGACAGAACAGAGATATATATATTTACATATCGATTGAATCTATTTACATATATCTTTGATGCATTTACATTTTGATTCAAAAATCAGTCATCGAAAAATATTGCCAGCTTTCCGCTAAAGCATGATATATTCAACTAATTTTCAAACATGCGATTGTTTAATAATTTCTACAAATTATTACATTCAATTCTTGGAACCTTATTTTACTTAATATTTCTTAGACTGAATTTTGCAACATAAGTTTTTGCTATCTGTTTATTTATGTACTATTGAAACTTTTTAACAATACAGTGTAATTATTTCGTTCATATTGATCGAATATACATCATAGTTACTATTAAAATTAAAAAAAAATTAACAGAAGATTTATTTTGATAATAAATATTAATTCATAGAAGAAAAAAAATTATGTTTCTAACATAATTTTTTCTCGTTTTTTAATCAGGATTTTCATGAATTTATTAACCACCATTTTTCTCATAAACAGTAAGTATGAAAAAAATATATATTCTCATAAACAGTAAGTATGAACGAGGAAAAAGCAGTACTATTTTTTATAAGCAACATAATGGTGTATGTATGAAATTTTTTTGTATTTACACTATTTTTGCAGAAATGAAGGTAACTTTCATTTTTTAAAGTGAAATGCTACATATTTTTGTATGTCATTGTAGTAGTAAAATTGCAATAATAAAATTTAAAGTTAGTAAAATCTAAATTAAATCATCTGCCATAAAATGACCTTCAAAGTCATACAAGGTCGATTCAAGTATTTTATGAATACATTTCTTATATATTAGGAGTATTCTGTGTATTAGTAAATAAAACAGTACGGAATCTAAAATTTTTTTTTCTTTTTTGACTTTGTATAATATAAAAAGATATGAAGTATTTAAAAAATTAAAAGTCACCGTCATTCCTAAAAGAATAGTAAAACAATAATGCAAAAAATTTCATGTAACATCATGTTGTTTATGAAAAATAGTACTACTTTCTCCTCCTATTTTTTTCTCATATCGTTTATGAGAAAAATTTTGGTTAGTAAATTCGTGAACATGCTGTATAGTATATGTATTTACATATATACACAGCATGCCTGATTTATCTAAGAATACTCAAATATCTCGAAAAATATGAATGATATAAAAAAATGTTTCAGACAAAAATTATAGAGTATAAAAAAGAATATATGGTTTGTTTGACCCTAAAGTAATGGTCTTGAAAAGCTTTGTAAAGGTCATTTAAAATTTTAAATGAAAACATATATTTTTGATTACGCATTCTTTTAGCTAACATTGAAATGTTAAAACACTGTACACTTATGACTTTTATAAAAATCATCATAGTTCTGAAAAAAACCGATTTTATGTGCGTATGTATGTATGTACAATTCAACTTCATACATTGTCTTTTGAAGACAATGTATGAAGTTGAATTAGCAATTGTCATAAAGTTTCGGTAACAACAATCTTCTATTATTCAAATATTTAATAGGATTATTATTTATTTTTGTTGTCTACTTTTCTTTCAATATACTGTCCAAAAAGTGTACATCTTTTCATATTTCTTAGAAATTTTCTTCCCACATTTTTTTAATATTTGTAGTACTATAATAACTTTTGTTTGTAATTCGTGGATATTATTTATAAGCATATTATGAACAATTTATTTTAAATATTCTGATTGAGCAACTTCTCCGCGGTATACATTGTGTAATATTAATATTAAATCCTTGCAAAATTTTGAAGCTCATATCTCAATGATAATTTATGCAAAAATTACAAATATAGTATTTTGGAAATGTGATGTCAGCTACAAGATTATGTAATCAAAAATGTAGGTTTAAAATTTTAAAATGTCTGCTTAAAGTTACTATAAGTCTCCCTCATCATTCTACAAATTTCGTTTGAAACATTTTTTCATATCACTCATACTTTTGAGAGACTTAGATGTTCTTAGATACATATTTATTACTTTAGTATATAATTATTATACATATGTGTGTAGTGAAACATATTTATTTAAAATATATTTTTTATATTAATATAATATAATATGATAAATGCGATAACTATTACATTGAAAAAAGTTTTTGTACCTACATAAATAACTTAATAGATAGCTTCCAAGATAAAATTACATTTACAAATAATTTCTATTATTTAATAGAATTTATGTATTATTTAAAATGATTTTAAAAATATTTTGTAATCAATTACATTACTTACATTCTTTAGGTAATGTGAGTAGAGGGTGGACCAACGTCGCAGGTAGCAGCCGGAAGTAATACGAATTCGTTATTTCCGGTTTCCTCTGCACCAGGTACCGTTTGGCCAACTAGTACCGGATGGTTATATATGCCACCACCTCCTCCACCACCACCACCGCCGCCGCCACCACCACCATCAACACCCTCAACACATCCATCGCGCTTACACGCTCATTGCATCGCTCAAACTTGCACTATATGTTCTCTTAATCTTTAAAATAATATTATAAAAAATAATATTGGAAAAAATATTGTTTCATCTTGTTTATTGCTTCTATTCATTTTTTCTACAATCTTTTTATAGCAGTATCTTTTAAATTGAAACTCATGATAGATAGTGGAAAAAATTATCTTTCAATAATACATTAATATTTTCTTTCCTATCATCTCAATAATATTGTTATAGAATTCATAATGAATTGATTCAAATTTTATGACGAAATGATTCAAAATTCAAAAATTTAAATAAATTGCAGGTATAAAAACATTGGGATAGATATAGAAAAAGATAGAAAAGGCAATTAGTAAGTAATAAGTAAAATTTATTTCTTCTTCTTATTATTATAAGCATATACTTAAAATATGGGACATAAAACTAAAAACTTTGGATAATTATAAATTGCTCTGCATTTTTTATTCAATATAATTTGCTTTGAAAAGAAAAAGAAAATTTTCTAAATTGTTGTTATAGTTAAATAAAGCATCATGCCTAAATGTATTGGTTTTTAATAAGAATAAACTGGGAAAATGTTCCTATATTGCTATACAATGTACATTGTTAGTTTTGCAAATCAAGCAAAAATCAATAATCACTTTTGAAACTTATTTAGTTGGAGAAAAGCTCAAGATTCAAACAAGTGAAACAAAATTATATTACTAATGTGTTTATCAGCTGTGATTAAAAAATATATATTTTGGTTTGCTCATACATCAGTTTTAAAATTATATTATTTATAGAATACTCCTTTTCATATATCTTTTTGATATAATAAAAATATTCTTTCATCTAAAATATAGTACGGTGTCATTTTGTTGTGTTTCTTTTACATACAATAAAGTTAGAATAGAGATGTTATAATGTTTATTGATACTTATAAAATAACATTTAAAACCTAATAACTCCAGTGCTTTATTTATATTCTTTGTATTATAATACTTTTAATATTCCTAACAAATTTTACATGAAATAGAAATTGTTTCACAAACTACGAGTGATATTTCACTATAAATATATTACATGAATTATTTAAATATACTAATATAAAATATATGAAATGTATGCATATTTTGATATTGGAGTTTTAAGACATTCCATAAGTTACTCTAATTATAATATTTCTGTTTTCCTTAAAACGAATTATAATTTTTTATTTTTATTGTGTAATTTTTAACTATCTTTATACAGGATTTTATTTCTTTTCAATATTCTCAAGTTTTATATATTTATGAAACTTTGTAATGTGCAATTTTGGAAACATTGTTAAATTATAATTGTGTTTTTAACATACTACAGATGTATAAATAGTAAATTCAATTTAATCATATTTGCTTTAATTGCACAATTTATCTACAAAACAATACAGTTATGGTGCTAATATTACAGATACAATGTTTTAATATTATTCCAATAGTTAAGCTCAATTAGGATTTATTATTAGTGTAATTTTAAAACAGGGACAAATTTTTGTTAAATTTTCACGTATATTAAGTACTTCATTTTGTATCGTATAAAATATGAAAGACATATAATAATGATATGTCTTTAATACAGATGTAAACAAAATATTTATACCATATAATATTAAGTATTCTTAGTATAAAAACAATTCTATATATTATTATGTATTAAATATTTGTAAAAATACTATGATGTCTATGTTATATTCAATAATTTTAGAAACATCAATAAGTTTAGAAACATTTTAGAAGCGAAATCGATTTTAAAATATATCTACAGGAATACAATTGTGTACAACTCTATCTACAGGTTACTATTAAGTCCTTCATATTTAAATTGTTAACATTAAATAGAATATCTCAATAATATAGTGCAAAACATGAATATGTATCAAACATAAATATGCAAGCTATAATTTTGGAATAACAGAAGATAGAAAAACTTCATGAAACTAAGTTCAATAGGTTTAAATGGTGCATGATCTTCATCAAGTTAGAATTTTTTAAAAATTATTTTTTTAAATTTTTCTAAAAATTCTTTTCTTGAACGATACTTTTTTTCAACATCAATTACTGTATCTTTTTATTAGCTATAAAAAATGTGGTAAAGGTACTTTAGTCAAAAATTAATTGAACTAAATTGAAAAATGTTTTAACTTTGATCTTACAGAACTTATATAATAAGAAAAGACAAAACAGTAATTTTGTATTTATATTTTCGTTTCCCTTATATAAAATAAATTTTAATTATAATAATAATAATTAAAGTTAAAATATTTTTAAAGTTAAAATTAATTTCAAAATTTTTGCCTGATCCAGTTACATAGAATATCCAATCTTACATATGTACATACATATATAAAATGTACATGATTAAATAACATAATTTATAGCATACTCATTATGTTAAATAGACTGCAGAGTTTTATACATTTAGAAGAAATTTTAAAATACAAAATTGCACAAAATGCACATAATATAAAAAAAAATACATAGAATATTCAAAGTATTGTACTTTCTATACTATTTAGTACATAAAACAATTTTCTATCGAGTATATATTTTGTTATTTATTTTCTCAAGAATATGAATTTGCATAAAAATCCGCAGTTTAGTTATAACATACTCTGGCCTTTTTGACAGTTTTCGTAAATTAATTACATATTTTATATATTCTCTTGCATGAATAACCAGTGAAGAAGAAGATTCAAAAATATACTTACTACTAACTTAATGTCGTATCTTTATATAAAAATTAATATTGTTCATTTAGAAAATTCAATCAGAAAATTATAATTTTACAAGTAATGTTTTGCATTGCATTATTAAGATATTCTTATATAGAATTAATATACTAAAATTTATAATCAAGATTATAAAATGAAAATCGATTCTAAATTACGTATTTCATATGATTTGATAAGATCTAACTGCTATTTTAATTATAATTTTTATTCAAAAATACATATAAACAAAAGAGCAAATCAATTTAATTGTATTTAATTGCAAGGATAACTTAAAAAGAAGAAAAATTTAGAATTCAAGTCCTACAAAATCAAACACACACATATAGTTTTATAATTTTGTAATAACTACAGATATTCTTTCTATCGTATAACATCGTATTCCATTTATTAAAGTTTCATAAAAGGTAATTCTGCATTTTTTAATTAGCAATTTTATCAAAAATTCATTTATCAAATAAAAATTAATGTTTAATTGTTAAAAAATATTAAAAATAGTAATATTTAATATGTTTAGATATTTGATCAAAAAAAATTCTAATATTCAGTAAAAATAAATAATACATAGAAGTATTTGATTTACGATACAATAATATATCTTTTTTGTAATATGTATTACATTTCTGTTGAAATATGTTATGTAAAGAACAATTTTTTTGTGTTAAAAAAGTTACACTGTAAATCACAATTTACATTTATTTTGTACAAAAAAAAGTTAAATTATTTGATAAAAAATGTTTTCCAATAAAATGGAGATAAGGAACAAGTTGACAAGATGAAAAGGAATTCCTGTTTGCTTTCATATATATATATATATGTTTGCCTTAATATATATTATTCATAATATAACTAATGCAATTTATATATATAGTTAAATTTATTTTTTTCAAACTACATATTGAAAATTTAAAAACTAGAAAATAATACAACATTTGTAATTATTATATAACAAATATTCAGTGCAAATTAATTTTTAATTCAATATTTCTTTTCTTCACTCGATATAAATTCATCAAATTAAATTTTCGAAACACTTTGAAACATAGAGCATAATTAAATAAATGCTCAATATGTAATATAGTTTCTTATATACGAGAAGTTTGATAATTTATAAACAATTAATGAAAGAAAATTCTGTTCTTATAAATGTATTAGTGAACTAATAGTTAGTGCTAAAGGAAAAACAAACTATGAATTTTTTCTTTATTTAAAAATAAGTCAAATAGCTTTTATTTATAGTCTATTTTTAAAAATTTTAGTTTTTACAAGATTATTGTACAATATAACGTATCTTTTTTTATATCTTTAAGATTTTATCTTTTAACAAGCATTACATATGAATTATAAAATTTTATGTTTTTTATCAATGTCAGATATTTGTTTCGAATATTCCAAGTATTTGTAATTTATACTAAACTTTTCAAGTAATAAATAAATATATTAAATATGTACTATCTCTGGGAAAGTGCAATAAAACATAGATAATGGTCAGTTAATACCTCCTTTTTATTTTGATAAATTCTATGTAGGTGTATTTTATCTTAAACATGTTGAAAATTTCATTAATACAAATTTTTCTTATACAAAATTGTAACGAATGTACAAGGAAATAAATAATAAAAATACATGTATACCTATCAATATCAGTATCAGTTAATTAAATTAATCTACTATATAAAATATAATTAAATAAAATTACTTATTAATATAGTATAAAAAAAAAATATTAAAATAGTATAAAAATTAAATATAGTATAGTAAATATTAATATAGTCTAAAAATTAAAAAATCTAAAATATTTATTTTAAAATTAAACAATTTATTATGAGCCAAACACAAATGTATATATTTTCTTTACATAGTATGTAATTTATGAATCACTTATATGTCATATTAAATAACTGAAAATCTGAATTTACAACTTAAAAATTAGTACTATAATTACTCTTATAGTTAATTAATGTCCTTATACCTAGATGAACAAGTCAAATGCGCATTTTCTTTAACCATTATAGTATAGATAACAATATTTTTATACACACTAACTATTTTGCAAAACTAAGTAACATGATTACTTGAACCTAGTTTTGTAATATATACTGCATATACAGTCTGAAGATATTTTCTATAATTAAAAACACTATAAATTCTTTATGCACTCACATTAAGCATAGCCTTGATACTTCATAATCAAGAATTTGAAACCATACTTAAAATTTTATTCTTGAATTCAGTCGAACAATTTACATCTTATAACAGAAGAAATTATCTTGTAGCTTGCTTGACTTTTTCTTGCTGCTCTTGCTGTTTCTTCAGTTGTTTTTCTCTCATTCGTTCTGCGTCTCTGGAACAAAAAAAAAAAAAGACAATTTTATATATTATATGTTGTTGGAAAAAATTTAAAACCAATTATTTTAGAATCTAAATATTCTTACCATTTAAAAATCCTATTAAAGGGAAATTTATGTCATTTAACTTTTGACATAATTATTAATGATAATCTTTATAATCTATTGATAAATATCAAATATCTAAAAAAATACATGAAAGTTTGAATACTTATAAAATATTGTTACCGTGCTTTTCGTTGTTCTAATGAAAGACCCTTATTGCTTTCCTGTTCAGCTGCAGATTTTCTAACAGTTTTTTTCATATTTTTGGCTCGTGCTAACTCTCGCTGATTTCCACCTACATCAAAAATATATACTCCCAGGTAAGTGAATATCCATTTATATGAACTTATCAAGGGACAAATAGTTTATATAATTGGAATTCATATAATAGGAGTCCACTGATTCTCCCCTCTACTAATAATTTTTCATCCATATAATAACAATTTAGGTTCAAATAAGTGGACTCAACCAGTAAGAGTTCGTTTAATTGGATACTGACTAAAATTTGGTTCTATTGCATGGTAGTAACAAATAATAAATATTATTCTAAACGAAATATCAAAAAAAAACATTAAAAACAAATAACAATTCAAATATTAGAATAGCCTATAATATAATTACATTATAAATAAAATTCTATTCTATCCTAAATAATGAAATTTAATTGTAAAAATAAAAAATGCAAATTATTGGACACAATGCAGACAATATTAAATTATAATAGAAACAAATTTCCAACGAAGAGAAACATTATAACTATAAAAGTCAAGTTAAGAATTTTCCAGAAATGCTATTTTGAACTTTTAAAACGAAACTGCTGAGTGAAATGCAAAATGATATTGTTAAGTCAATTGTTAACAAACGCCTAAGTTAACAAAATAATTTTGTTAACTTCGAATATTTTTTCAGTGGAAAATATTGAAACAACAAAATGTAGAATACATCATATAATGCGTAAAAGTATGTAAATACACATAAGAACTTCTCTAGCATGAAGAAACAAAATTATATTCGTTAGAAGTGATTTCTTGTACATAAACAGAAAAACATAAACGTATTACTCTATACATAATGTAAGTATTGTTTTTTATTCGATTTTCGAATTATTCGCAAATGGCAGACGGGCAGCATATAGGTATGATTCCAAGTTCTCTCTGTTATTTTTATGTCAGTTTCGTACGTGACCATAAAAACAACGATGCAAGTTACTTACGGGTCATTCTTTCAGTTCTTGACCTCTGATAAGCAAGTACTTAAAAGCTTGGCCCCGATTAAATGACGCGAAAAGCACGTCCGCGCACCTTTTCTCTTTACGAGTCTGACTAATTTCTAAACTAAAATAAATCTTGCGTCGCTTCGGTTGACGAATATCGATGTAAATGCCATCTATGTATAGGTTGGGCTGATTCTTTTTTGACATTTTACGAGGTGAAGAAAGTTATCATTATACACGTAAACATAGTTAAAATATGATAAAATGTGAAAAATAAAACTTCAAACACAAATAGCGTGTTCGTAATACAAAAGTGATCGATAAATACGGGATATTTTTACTAAGTAATGACCAATGGTAAATAATGGAATTTTGTAACCTCTGTTATCTTAGATTTTAGGTTCTAAATACACTGTTACGATATCGTAATTGTTATGAAATAAAAATTATAACTGAATTTCATTTAATAATGATTTCATTTGAACCATATAAAATGTATAATTATTTTGTATTATATAAAATGTATAATAATTTTGTATATATTATTTTATATATTGTATAAGAAATCATTTTAATAGTATTTTAATTGCCAATAGTTATTGATTCTTATAAAATATAGCAAGACATCTTGTTTTTCAATAAAGTAGTGTTAAAAATTTATTATATGAAATATATATTCAGTACATATTTTTCAACACGTGTCAATACTAAACGTATTGAATATAAAATATATAATATAAAAATGTCTAATTTTAAACTGTTTGAAGAGATTTGTCATAGAAATGGAAAAAGTTAATTTTTCCTTTATATTTATTATTTTAAATTTACAATTGGTCTATATCAGATCATTTGGCAAATGTATTTTATATTTATACAATGAGAAAGTATAATTCATTAGTAATTTTGTAAGAATAACTATTTATTATAATTAAATTAATTATTTTACATTATATCCATAGATTTTTCAGTCGTCTATTTCTTGGTAAGTTGTTGATCAAATTTTTAGCTAATATATTTGGGTGATTACTTATATTATTATTTTTATATAATAGTGTATTTTTAGTGTATTTTCAGATGAATTCGTAATATTAACATTGTCTAATGACAAATAATTTCAGAATAAGATTCTTAAAATGATACTAGCAGTACAAATAAGGTCAATAAATATAGAATATATTGTTGATAACGAAATAAAACATGTAAGTATACAAAAATTATGTTTTAATATTTTAATAATAGAATTTAATAGTATATTTTTTGATTATAATATTATCAGTACAGTTTAATGTTAATATCTTAATTATAAAAATTATGTAAATTCTTTTTTATAACGTACTTATATTTTGTATGTAATATGTTTTTTTATAAGAAAAATGAAATAGTATAGCTACTGCATACTATAAGATAGGTTTGTAAACTCATAGATTTGTAAAAAAGGGAAAATTCTTGAAAAACGTTCTTAAAATTTCACTAATTCTTGTATGATTTTTATTAATAACATATTTACATTTCATGGTTAAACAACAACATATATATTTCGTTTAAGATTTTCAAGGAAATAAAGTTCAAATATGTCAGAAATTGATCTGTTATACGTGTATCTATTTGATAATTTTCCAATTTATTTATTAAATAAATTTTCAAATTTATTTTTTTTAGGAATGAAATATTTTATGAAAAAAGTTTATTTCACATTTTCGACTTATTTTCACATGTAAAATAACCTCCTGTTAATTATTAATTTCTGTCTAATCTAGAATTAAACAAATTCAAGTGTACTTGATATATGAATATGAATATTTAATTTTCATTTTCTCAAAAACTAAGCTTTGAAAGGAAAAATTTTATTCTATATTTTCATGAGGAATTATCGCACTCTGTATATTGACAATTATATTTTTTTTTTTTTGCAATAATGTGTATCACTGTTTTCTAATGCTTTCTGTGCAGTGTATTCATATGTTGCATATTACGATTTCTTTCCATACTTAATCTTTAAGAATAAAAAAATAAAACTTATGTTAGATTAACATTATTTTTTTTTAAATTAGAAAAAGTAATTAAATAAAAAAGTATCAACCTCTTTATCGCACACTTGTGATTATTAATAAAATTATTATCATCAGTGATAATAAATTCATCATTTACTCCAGCAGGTCCAATTATTTATCATTGTTTGCTGGTATTTTTACTTTAAGCATCATTTTTATAATTATATAATTCTTTTACAAAATTATAACAGTGAAATATTTAGTATCCAAATATTAATGGGAGTTACTGTATGTGTACATGTATGAATATTCACAGACTATACATTATATTTATATTATAATATACATTTATAAACTTCTTATAGTTTATAAGTTTTATAATTTATAGTTTATAAACATCACTTATAAGAAATGTGCAAAACATATGCATTATGCGAAATAAATAATATATTTTCAATATTTATAAATATTTTATCCAAGTCTCACATCTTTATTTTGCTTTTGCAAAAATATATTTGTATATAAATAATGTCTAATAATTACTTTTCTACGAACCATAAAAAAACCATGCAAATATTTGATTAGAGCCATGGAGAACTTCAATTGAAAATTCTTCATTAAAATATGTATTTTTGTCTCACTATTATTCATACAATCAAAATACTCTTTAAAAGTTTTTTAAAGACAAATAAAATAATTATATTTTTTGTAAACATATATTCAAAAATATTATTTTTGTATGATTTCGTTTACTATCAGTAAATGTATTGTTAAAAATAGTTCAACGTTCAATTAATTTTTTTTATTAAGTGTAATTATTATTGTCTTACTAAAGAATGTGTATAATATGTATACAAACATGATGGTCGTCAATGATAATGTTGATAATAATGATAATACAAAACGTTTATTTTGCAATAAAAATGATAAAATGAGCACAATATTACATATTCAACATTCCGTTTTCATTCCGCTGTTTTTAAAGGATGTGATGATAGATTCCACATTATATCATTTTATTTGAGTATTTGATATATAAAAAAACCATAAGAATGCGCAAGGTGCGCATTATTCGAATAACATTTCGAATAAAATTTCGAATAAATTATTCGATATTTATGAATAACGATTTTATTCGAACATAAAATTGGGCATTATTCGAATAAATTCTTCGAATAAAATTTTATTCGTATAAATTCTTCAAATAACATTTTATTCGAAATATTTACTGAAATAATGTAAAGAAAAAGAATCAGGAGGAAAATTTTTTCATAATTTTGGTTTATTTAATAAATTTGTTTTTAGTACAATTTTTTGTTCGAACATTTTGTTAGTTAATCAGTTTGCTTTAGGCGAGTTTGTTATCGTTGCAAATGAAAACCAACGCTCTACTGGAGCAGAAGATGGCGAGGAGTGTTATATTTCAAAAATATATTTTTAATTATGGGATATGCGTTCAGAAATATGTAATCATTTCTATTATCTGTAAAAAATTGTAATACAAGAATTTCTACGTTATCATTTGTTTGTAAATATTGGTTGATTGAAGTAGATTCCGCTTTATTAAATATTAAAAGCAAAGCAAATTTATTAAGTAAATCAAAATTGAAAAAAAATGTACTCCTGACTCTTTTTCTTTACATTATTTCAGTAAATATTTTGAATAAAATTTTCTTCGAATAATGCCCAACTGTGTGTTCGAATACTTTTTCCTCCAATAAAATCTTTATTCGTTATTTACGAATAAATTTGACAGTATTTTATTCGTTATTCGTTCGAATAAAATATGCCTAACTCTGGATAGGATAGGGATTATATTGCGTTATCGAAGTCAATTATTCATAATATTTAATAAACATATATATTTTTTTTCTTCAAATGTAATANATCACAAAATGTTGAGCAATTATCTTTTTTACATTATCATTTAGAGTAAATATTATTACATTTGAAGGAAAAAAAATATATGTATATTAAATATTATGAATAATTGATTTCGATAACGCAGTCCCTATCATATCCCATTTGAACTTTTTCCAACTCGATCCGAAATAGACGGACTACCCGAAATCATCGGGCTACTCGCCCGAGCACGCCCAACTTTGTGTAAGCCCGACCCGAACATTCGGGTACCCGCACACCCCTAAATGACGCATTGCCAAAATTTGTTTATCAACTGGGATTTAAGATCAAGATGACTTGTTATACGGTTCTTATTGTAAGTCTGTGTGTGAATTTCTTATTACCTAAGCTTGAACATTTTTTTACTTTCTAGTTTCTATATTACGTTTTATTTGCTTCTGTCCTATTTGTCTTTTTTTGTTATACTTTTGATTTTTTATTTTTCTTTTTTTATATTGAGAACTTATTTCTTCTGTACATCCATTATACTTATTTTTATTAGCAACAGTTTCTGTATTTACTTTACAGGATAATTACTCGTTAACTACTAAACAAATAAGTAAATATTTGATTACTTAATGTTATTATGGTTTTCGGATCTTTTTTGTTCGATGGTTCCTATTTTTTTAGAAGAAGTTCAGATTTTTCAAGAAACATGTATTGAAATTACTTAAAATATGCTTATTTTTTAACATCCTTTGAGAAATATAAAAAGAAGAAGAAATAAGAACATTATTGGACGAAAGAAACTGGAAAATTGTCGCTAAAATATGAATATTTATATATATTTATATATGAATATTAAATATGAATATTTATATTTTCTTCGCTTTTGAATATTGATTTTTTTTAGAAAGAAAATATTTTTTTTATTATAAGTCTTTTACCATTTGTTGTCTCCTAATCATGCGTGATTAATCTAACTAAAAATATCTTCGTTTTCTCACATGTATGAAAAAAATTCTTCTTTATATGTACTATCTAAAGAGGTAGATAGAGATATGTATAATAATAAAAATTTCTTTTGAAAATTAAATTATTCGCGATGCTTCTTAAATGAATGTTAATTTTTTATCATATTCTTTATTTATATATAAACCCACAAATAAAATTATTTTATAAATCTACAAATAAAAATCATGCGCAATAATAAAAAGTCAATAATTAATAATTTATATGCATTTTTTAATTTCCTCTATAAGGAAAAATTATTGGACCTACAAATTTTGTCTATAACTT